TGCTCGGAGTCGTACGAGCAAGGGCTTATAACCTATCAGGTGAAATACAGGCTATATAGGAATGAATGTTAACCTCAAGGGATTAATATTGTAGACTCTGGAGAGAAAGAAAAGAAGAGAAGAAAAACTAGCTACTGTCTAACAATATCCTGAGTTCTGTGGGTCAGGATCACCTGCGGCCCCACATGGCCGTCACGTGACTCCAACAGTAGTCTTCGGATTAACTAAATAATTATAAATATAAATTATAGTATCTACTCGGTAAGGCTAAAGCTATTTAGGAAGCTTAGCGTCTATATTTATTATACGTTAAATCTAGTTAATATAATTACCTATATACTCCGTAATACTATTCGGTTTAAATATATAGATAGGCGTAATTTTAAAAACTATATCTTCTTCCTCTACCTATATCTAGAACTTATAGAATTTAGTTCCTCCGTTAATCCGCTAGAAAGCTAGGTAATATCTACGAAGAATCTTCTATCTCTTATAGAAAGTAATTATATAAGATATAATCTCCTCTTTAGTTTAAAAATACGGTCCTTCGGTATATCGAGTATAGTTATCGATAATTAGTACCTAATAACGTTTACTATAAGATCTAGGTAGGTCTATAGTTTATATATCCGTATAAAACTTTATACCTAGCTTCTCTATACGACGTTATATATCCTAAGAAATCTATTTTTTAGCTTTACTAAGTTAATAAGCTTTATAATTAAAGTTATAAAGTTCAACCTAGTCTCCTTTCTCTAGAAGAATAATATTAGATAGAGAAGCTTTAATATATAGTCTTCCTATATAACTAAGTCGACGATAAATTTCGTAAGTCGAAATAGACTTATTAATTCGATTAAACTCTTTATCTAAATCTAAGTCTAAATTAGAAGAATTCGGTTTATAGAAGTAAGTCGTTTAAATAGAAGATTATTATTATATCTTCTTTAGAATCACTCCTTAATAAAGTAGGCTATTAATCTAGGGTAAACTATTAAACTATTTTACTAATCTAACTTCCTCCCTATTCTTATAAACTAGTTTCGAAATAATTAAATTATAATAGATACCGTAATCCGCTTTAAGAGTATTAGATAAAAGTAAACAATCGGTAGTTACTATATTATAGTAGGTATTAATAAGAATTATCTTAATCTTACCTTCCGAATTCTTAATTTAAATCGGCGCCTTACTATAACTAATTACTAATTAGATCTTACTATTAGTATTTATATAGCTATATAGCTCCTTACTAGGCTTATAAATTAAGTATTTATAGAAGTCCTTACGATATCTAGTAATCGTTTTAAAAGTACTACTATTAATTATCTAGTTATCCTCCGAAGAATAAGCTATATTAGTATAAATAATACTAGCCTTATCTTTCTCTTTATATATAGTTATATAGTACTAAGTATTACTACGCGGCTTTTATCCCTCTATAGATAGATCCTCTATTAGATAGAAATATATCTTAGTAGGATATCTAGTATATCTATAGTAGGTATATTCTAAATTATTTATATACTATAGCTATTAATTATACTACTATTCTGTTTATTTATTAATTAATTTACCCTTAGGCGGCGTATTCTTCGTACCTTAATACTATTTCTTCTAATTATTTTAATTATCCTTATTATTATTATCCGATCTAGAGTTATATAAACTACTTTTACGACCTCTACTATTATAACCTTAACCTCTTATTCTACCTCCGTATTAATTATTATTATTCTAAGCGACGTTAGTAGAAGCTTCTAGATCGAACGATAACGAAGTAGGAATATCGCGTACTTTAATCGTTAATACCTTATATATATCGCTAAAAACCTCCTTTATAACGGAATCTAGTATCTTATCTTTTAAAGTCTCGTAGATAAACGTAACCGATTTAAGTTTACCTTCTAGTTATTAAAGTATTATAAATAATACTCTGAATAGATAAGATTCGACTTTATATATATTAAACTAGTTATATTAGGTCTAGTAGATATTAATATAATCCTTAGTAAAACTAAAGTATAATCTCTTTATCTCGTCGAATTTAATTACCTTATATCTTACGTTATTAATAATACTAATACTACGAATAATAGACTCGACTTTATATAGTATATAATTAGTATAAATCGGGAAACTATTTATATATCCTTTAAGAGTTATAATAATCTTCTAATTAAGAAGATCTTTAATCTATCTACTAGAAATCTTCGACTAATATCTTTATAGATCGTAATCGGGATCGAATTCGGTAGGATAAGGAAGATTATAGTCGGCGACCTAATCCATTCGCGTTATACTTAATCTATTAATAATCTATCGTTTCTATCTTACTAGATTACTACTATTAAAAGCTAATTTAATACCCTTATTAAGCTTAATCTCCTTTATTTCCGGAAGATTAGTCCCCTATATACGTATCTATCTAATAGGACTATATTATTAATATTATTATCCCTAACTATTAGAAATAGGATTATATTACTAGCGAGAAGTAGGGAGAGAATATAAGGAACCTTCTCCTCCGTTATCGTTATTATTATAGGAACTAGTTATTTTAACTATACGTCGAGTACCCGTCTTCGGTCTTAATCGAAAGAAATACGTAAAGCGGTACCGTCCGTCGTATCGATAAGGTAACTACGGAAAACAAAGCTTCCTAGATAATTAGAATAATAAAAATATTAACTTACGATAAGATCGTCGATAAAAATTAATATTAACGATAGGATCGACAGTCGAAATATAGAGATACGAAACGGGCCGAAAAAACGCGTCCTATAAAAGAAAAATAAAAACTCTAATTAGTTAAAAATTTCAACGAAAAGATACTCGCAGTCGTACGAGCAAGGGCTTATAACCTATTAGATAAAATATAGGCTATATAGGAATGAATGTTAACCTCAAGGGATTAATATTATAGACTCTAGAGAGAAAGAAAAGAAGAGAAGAAAAACTAGCTACTATCTAACAATACCCTGAGTTCTGTGGGTCAGGATCACCTGCGGCCCCATATGGCCGTCACGTGACTCCAACACCTAGCCTCTACTAGTAATATATCTATTATTCCTCTACTTCTCGATAGATAACCCGAGGGTTATCTACTATATATTATAGGAACCGGATAAACTCTATATAGATTTTTAGTACCTTAGATTTAGTAATATAGGATTCCTATACTATTATTATATCGCTATTAAGGACCTCGACCCCCCTACCTATCTTCGTAATATTATCTTTAAAGTAATACGGGTATTAGCCGAAGTGGTTATTTAGGCGCGTCTACCACATCTTATACTCTTAGAGTATTTTTCTAGAGTATTTTACGATACTCGTTAGGCACGGAGGACATCTCGCACTTAATATACGGTATACTAGGGGGACTCCGAAGCTTATTTCGTTGTCTTCTTCCCTATTATTATTAAGATCTATATCTACTAACGACGTTATTCTTATTAGAGGAACACTTAGCTTAGCCTTCGTATTCAATTCCGCTATACGTTTCTCTATCTACGCTTATATCTCTAGATACTCTTTAAGTTCTTTAAGCTATTATACGCGGGTCTTTACTACCTTTAAACCCTTAGTTTATTCGTTATCTTCGACGGTCGTAATAGAGATTGGTTCTTCCGCGATAGATTCGGTCGGGTTCGTAGAATCTACCTATACCCTTTCGTATTTACCTTCGGGGAGGCCGAGGTCTATTTCGAAGTTGTCTTCTATAGCTACCTCCGGCGTCTCCTTACTTTGTTCCGTGGTTACGCGGGTTCGGCGTATAGGCACTATGTTTTGCCAGTGGCGGTCCGATCAAAAATAAGATAGTTTAGAATATAAAGACCCACTATAAAGGGTCTTATAAAGGGTATGATCAGAGTGCCAAGGGCATATACAATACGAATTACTACTACGAAGCAATTGCAACTAGCACTACGTATGTATTCAAACTAAACTATGAACCTTTTATCCATAGTTCCAAATCCACTAGTTATGCAATGTGCGTAGCCTAAGCGAGATCATGTGCATTGGACCCATATATCTCGCAGGCCATTGATATGTCTGCGCAGGTCCCGAAGACCTCCGAAGGTCCACCTTGAAGGTGCCATCTCGGGTCCAGGCGGGTTCTGCACCTTACTTTGTATGGTGCAGGACGTGACATTATCAGCACTTTAGCAGATAGTATATTATAGTCTATAGTGGACTATAATATTTCCAGTGGGGAAGTAGTATTAGGTAAGCTTATATCTTATATAATCAGGTTATATAAGATATAACAAAGGATATACTTAGCTAGTGAAGCAATTAGAGTCGGTAAACACGTTGATTGTTGTTATTCATCTTAATTAATATGTTGGCTAGTAGGGAGAGCTAATCCCTTATATAGCTAGTTAGGAGTAGACTTCCGCAAAACCCAACTGGACCCGGACCCAACCCGGACCCAACCCGGGCTGGGTTGGGTTTTGGGTCGAGATCTCCGACCCAGTACTAGGTTCTGGGTCGAACCCTTTAACCCAGTACTAGGTTGGGGCCCCAAATTAGGTCGTAAACATTACAAATATACCAAGATCTCGGATTATATTAGTTATACGTTTTCCAGCTGTAATTTTGAGTATTTGACCTACGTTTAGCGCGGTGAATTTAGGGTCTAGTAGATCAAATTCGACTACATGATCATTAGATTAGATTTGTGTCTATTCTTATTACTAATAGTATTCGAAGATATTATCCTCCCTACTTTTCCGTTTCCGTCCTAAGGCCCGAATCTACGTCTAGTTCGGTAGTAATAATAGATTAGGCCAAGCATTATATTCACCGGCACTTATAGACGCCTCCTCTAGTTCTATAAGATCCTAGTTCTTATCCTAACTATATATCTTAGCTTCCTACTCCTCTATATCACTTATTAGATCGTCCTTAATTAGGTCAATCTTCCCCTCCTTCTCTTCTTTCGCTGCCTCGATCTTATCCTACGTAAAATACTCCTTAAGAAGCTTCGCCTCCTACTCCTCTATATCAAATCTTAACGTATAAAGGAATATTATTAAATCTTTAATAGTCTTTAACTTTATTCTACTACGGCGATAGTAGCAGATATCCCGAGCGGTATTAAATAGACGTTTAACCCCTACGCTAGTTACTAGGAACGAAAGGGTATCTCGCGTAAGTATAGCGATAGCTAGGAAGTAAGATTAGTATTCTTTCTAGAAAGTAAGGGGATTTATAGAAATAGTATCTATTTATTTAGTATTAGGTTACTAAAAGGAATTAATAATTAGGTTTACTTACTACTATTAAAATATTAACTTATTTTATTAGATACTAGAAGCCGTACTAGATCTTTACTAGGTCTAGGCCTAGTAAGTATTAAATTAAGTATTAAGTAGACTTCGGCACAACCCACTCTAACCCGGACCCAACCCAACCCAACCCAAAATGGGTTTTGGGTCCATTGCTTCGACCCAACGATGGGTTTTAGGTTATGAGCTATAACCCAAAACCCATTAGGTAACCCATTAGGGCCCTAATATAGTATAAACTAGACAAATAGACTTCTAGCGTATAACTATATAATTAATGCATTTTTTGCTTATAATATTGAGTATTTTACTTATAGCGCTCTTCTAGAATAAATTGAGAATAAATTAAATAATTGAATTAGAATATATTTCTCTAATATTGCTTAAAATCCTTATCTACCCTACTCTTACGCTTCCTTCCTAAGGCCCGTCTCTAAGTTATAGTCTCTAGTAACTCTAGCTCTATTACCTTTATATCTATATCTATTAAATAAAGAGATATCTCTTATAGTTTATTATCTACCCCCTCTTCCTCTTTATTATTACTAATTAGGTTAAGCTTAGTATCCTTTATATATTTATCGTTCTACTCCTTCGCCGACTTAATCTTAGCTAATATAAAAAACTACTCTAGCTACTTTACCTTAATATCCTTAATATTAAATCTTATTATATATAGAAATAATATAAGCTCCTCGATTATTTCGGATTTTAGACGACTATAGTAGTAGTAATAAATATCCCGAATAATATTAAAAAGCTATTCGATATTAGTACTAGTTACTAGAATAAAGAGAATATCGCGAGTAAGTAACGCGATTATAAGGAAACGAGATTAGTTCTCCCGCTAGAATTAAAGAGGTTTAATATTAATTAGATCTAGTAATATAAATATATTAGTATTATCCTATATAAAGAAGAAATAGATTATAAATATACTACTATTAAGATATTAAGTTATCTTATTACTAGCTAGCTTTACGGATATCTTATTACTCTTTAGTATCTTATTTAGTCTAGAACTAGATAATATTATTATTAGAGTATTAGTCGATCCTTAATTTATTATAAGACGCTCTTAATATAGAATTAATAATTCTTAGAACGATTTCTAATAGATATTACGCTAGTAAGGCTCCTAATTATTAGATTAAAAGAACTAAAATCTATTATTAAATACTAGTATTATCCTAATTATATAAATATATCTTTTAAGATTATCGGTTTAAGAGTAGTACTTATTAAGTTTTAAGCGACTAGCTATAAGTCCTTTAAATATATTTAATTTCTATAGAATACGCTTATATTTAAGTAGCGTCTCTACTTTAAAAAAGTAATTAAAGAGGGTATTATAAATCTTAAAGATAAGATATATAGTAATCTCCTTTATCTTTAAGAGCTCTATTATATAATTAAAGAATAGCTAAGTAATTTATAGAAGATAGTTAATTTAACGTTATTCTTAATTATTAAGTAATATCTCCTTATAATTATACTCTTTATAGAAGGGCTAGAAGAAACTATATAGTCTCTTTATATAATAAAGTATTAAGAAGGTAGAATTCTACCGAGTCCTTATATCTTAGATTAGAATAAGCTAAGATCCCTTTTCTTAAAGTCGGAGAAAGGCCGCCTAGCGTTACGGACTTATATAGATATATATAATAAGATAACAGACCTTATTTAAGGTATAGGAGATCCTTCGTATCTAGTACTAAATATTTGCCTTTACTATAGATAACTTCTAATTAGTCTACTTTATTTCTATATTCTTATTTAGAGGGATAGCCTTTAAACGATTAAAGAGCTAATTTAAATAAAGCTAAATAATATAGGTAAGATAGGGTATTTAGATTACTATTATATCGCTAGAGAGCGCCTACTAAATAGCTTTAATTATTATCTTATTATTAGTTATATTATTAGTTATAACTCTAAATATTTAATCCTAGATCTTATACTTAACTAAAGTTTTAAGGAATATACTACTTAGATTTAAACCAGTATAAGAACTATAAAGTAGTTTAAATCTAAGTAGAACCTCTTAGTATACTTAGTTATTATTAATAAAATAGCTAGTAATAGTTATAAATACCTAGTTATATAAAGAGGTCTAATAATCTAATATAATCGAGATTTTTACGTTATCGGGTAGTATTTAAAGGATAGATTTCTATCGTTCTATAATAATATTACGTAAACGGCGACGTATTATAGTAGTAGAAGATATCGGAGGGAGAGATAATATAGAACGGGCTAATCGGAATAGCTTATAAAATATTAGATATTCGATAAGGTAAAATAGAAGTCGATTAAGGGTAAGAAATTAGAGAAAATACTCTTCCTATACTAATTATAAAAAGGAAGCCTCTAGTAAGCCGTAATCCTATATATTTAGGAGTATTAGGGAAATCGGATAATTAAATAAAGAGGTAAGGAGATACTACTTTTTAAAGGAACTAGGTAATTTCTCCTTTTCCTTTTTATTAAGCTTTACGATAGCCTACTATCTTTAAATACTTTAATATTATTAATATATTATAATAGCCCTTTCCGCTAAGTAATAGAGAATAAGGATACTCTAGGATCTTTAAGTAGCGTTTATATATAATCTTTAGCGTACTATCTTTAGTATAGGCAACTTATTCGAAGTTACTCTATATATTTAAATTACGATTTAAATCCTAGGAAATCTTACTTTTCTACCTATAGTCGGTTTATAGCTACTACTTAACCTATTCTTTATATACTATATTATTATAAAGTATATATACCTTTCTCCGATCGGGGCTAACGCGAGTAAGAGAGTATAAAATTAGTAGAAGGTGTGACGATCTGGAAGAGATTCTGCCAGTTGACTCCGCCTATAGAGATTTCTGATAGAGGATTCCGCCTAGGTTCGATGTTTGTATTCCTCTAGTGTTTGTAGGACCCACACCCTATAACGACATTAATAGTCCTGCCTATAGATTTCTTTCTTCTTTTCTTTTTTCCCCTCTATACTTAATATTCTAGTTGAATATACTTTTTTGTTAAAGAACCGGCTAGTAATATAATATTAGATATCTTTTAAATCTAATAAGTAGTACGACTATATAGATCCCTATTATAGTAGATCTCGGTCTAGCTTACCTACTTTCCGTTCCTTAGTACTATATAGCTAAGATACTTAAACTAAACTTTATCTAACTAATTATAATAGTTAAGATACGATAGAACCCTATAAATCGCGGTAAGTAGCCGGTTACTACTATACTTAATAAAGAAGAGATTAATAATCGGATAATCGATATATCGACGCCGAAGAACTTATATACTAAGAGACTAGTAGATACTAGTAAATATAATAAAGATAATAATAACGTAGGAGAAGGATTATCCTCTATACGCGAATAATTATAAAAGACTCCGTCGAAAGAGAGATTCCGAAAACTTACTCGTTAGTACTAACGATTAGAGTAGGAGAACTAGAAGTTAAAAAATAAGATTATAATACTTCTTAATAAGAGAATTAATATTAATAAACTTACGATTAAATATAATAAGGCGATTACTTACCGCGATTTTATAATCTATAAATATAGAGACTTAGCTTTCCGTCTTCTCTCTATCTAGAACCCGAATATTACTAACGTTAGCGTATTAACTATAAAGGCTAATATTAATCGGAAGATAACTAAAATACTTAATATACCGATATTTAATAATAATAAAAAAATAAGATTCGAAATCTAAAAGATAGTTATTCGATAGAAGCTAAAAGTTAATATAGACTATTACCCTTTTTCTATTTACTAGAAGCTCTATATATAAAATTAATATAAAAGTAAGGCCTAATTATATATTACCCCTAAATAAGTACCGACGCTAATACCCCCTATAAAAATATAGAGGATATTATTACCTACTTAAAAACTATCTTCGCGAATCTAAATCGATATATTAAAGTATATACTATATACTACCGACTAAAGATAAAGCCGAGAGATAACTTTACTAATTTTCTCGCGGAGTTTATATAGCTTATAGAAAAGGCTATTATTATAATCGAGAACTAAAAATAAAACTTATATTCTAAGCTCCTATATCTACTTTAGACCTAGGTTATATAAGCTATTAATTAGGAGATTATCTCGTTTAATATATTTATATAAAGTTACTAAAGTATATTATATAAAATTAGTTTATAATAAGAAGCTAAATCGGCTAGTTCTACTTCTACTTCCTATTCTTATATAAACCTATCTTTAGAAAGCGGTATAAATACTACTATAGCTAGTTCGAATTATACTCCTTATATAAAATTTAAAGATAGTACTAACTTTATAAGTCTTTTTATATCTAAGCGTAAGATTTTAATAAAAGAAGGCTATTATTTTAACTATAAGGAGTAAGGATATATAATCTATAATTATCCGAAGAAGAAGTCTAATTAATAGCCTACTACTATAATTACCGTTACTATTCCTCGTCTTTAGGAGATTATAGAACTTAAAGTAAGTAATAAAGAGAACCTAAAAAAAGCCTCTACCTAAGATAAGTCTCCCTCCTAGATAGAAAGAAAGTATTACTATTTATACTAGACTTATAAAAGTTAATTAATAGTCTTAGAGATAGCTTAATTTTTAATATATAACTTATATATAATAGCTACTCTTTTTCTATTTTAGTATTTAATAATACTAAAATAGATATATATATCTTTATTAACTAGGTAATAATTATACTACTCGGTAAGCGATTCGGAATTAAGGTATAGAGGCTTAATCGTAAATATCTAGTATATAGATTTAATAGTAAGCTAGCTAAACTAATATAATATACTACTATTCTTACAATTTATATAAATAGTAGAGTATAACGATAGATTCTAATATTAATTATAGATCTTAAATAATATAATATAATCCTTAGATAGATATAATTTACTAAGTATAATATTCTTCTAGATTATTAACGATATTAAATAATTTAGCCGGATAAAAAAAGGCTTTTTAATAAAGTTATAAATAAGATTATTATATCTTTCTCTACTAAAATCTTAAAGAAGCTATTAAAGATAGATCTTAGCTACTAAACTAATATAAAATAATATAACTATCTTTTCGGATAATAGGATTAGTAATTACCTTTCTAACTCTAGCGTACTAGAGAATATTAATATAAGTACTAGTAAGTTAAAAAGAAATAAAAGATAATTTAGAATTTAAAGGATAAAATAAAGGTTTTAAAAGCCTAGATATCGATAAAGAAAGAGTAGTCTCTAATTAGTATTAACATTAGCGTAATTAAAGGCGTTAGATTTAATCGACTCTATATAAAAAGTAAGATTAATAAAAAAACTAAAATCTTTATTATATCTCTTTATAAGATTAATTATATTATCGATATTAAGAGCGCTTAGATAGAGGATCCTAAAATTAATAAAATACTCTAGATCCTATTAAAGAAATACTATAATTTTATAAAAATCTTCTTAAAAAAAAGACTAGATAAATTACTATTTTATAGATTTAAAATTAATTATAATAATATATTTAAAACCGAAGTATAGCCTAGATATTATCCTCTCTATAAGCTATCTTTTTATAAGCTAAAAAAAATAAGAGAGTATATTATAAAAAATCTTAAAAAAGGATTTATTATTCTAAATTTAATAATATATACTTCTCTAATCTTAATAGCGAAGAAGCTTAAAGATAGTCTTTATTTCTATATTAACTTCCGAAGGTTAAACGCTATTACTAAAAAGGACTATTACCTATTACTACTAATCGATAAAATCTTATAATAAACTAATAAAGTAAAATTCTTTATAAAACTTAATATTTAGTAAGATTTCTACTAAATTCGTTTAATACTAAGAGTAAAAGAGCTTACTACTTTCTATATATAATATAGATTATTTAAATATAAAGTTATATTATTTAGATTAATAAATAGGCCTACTATATTCTAATAATATATAAATAATATATTATAGGAATACCTAAATAAATATACTATAGTCTTTATAGATAATATCTTAATCTATAATAAGACCCTTAAAGAGTACTAATAGTAGGTAAAGGAGGTACTTTAATATTTATAGAAAGCTAGTCTCTAGATAATATTACTAAAATATAAATTCTTAGTATAAAAGATAGAGTTCCTTAATTTTATTATAAATACGGATAGTATTATAATTAACCTAAAAAAGATTAGTATTATTTAGTTATAATAAGCCTTAATAATTATAAAAAGAGTTTAGTCGTTCTTAGGATTTTATAATTTTTACTAACGATTTATTTAAAGATATAATACTATCTTAAAGTCTTTATATCGACTTACTTAGTAAGATATTTTTTATAAATAGATTAAATAATATAAAGTAGGTTTCTTACTATTAAAGAAGAAATTAATAATTATACCGATTTTTTATTATTATAATCCTACTTAATAAATAAAAGTCGAGACCGATACTTCTAATAGAGTACTTAGAATAGTTTTCTCTTAATATTATAAAAATAATAACTTCTTATATCTAATAGCCTTCTTCTTAAAGAGTATATAATCTATAAAGCTAAATTATAAAATATAAAATAAAGAACTCTTAATAATTATTTATATATTATAAGAATAACGACTTAAACTTAAAGATTTAATATAAAAAGATCGTTTCGAGATCTTAATAGATTATTAGTCTCTTAAATATTTTATTATAATAATATAGATAAATTAATAATAAATAAGATAGAGCGAGTTTTTATCTTAGTTTTATTTTATAATTAAGTATTATCCTAGAAAGAAAAATATTATAGCTAATATTTTATTACGAAAAGACTTACCTTATACTAATAATAATAGATAAATAATACTTCTACTAAGAAGTTATCTAAAAGAAAGTATTTATCTAGTTAATTTAAATCTAATTAATATAGAGTATATAATAGATATTACTAAGCGAGTAAAGTAGACTAACTAAGAAAGTACTAAGCTAGAAGATTTCTAATAGATTACTAAGGAAAATAATAACTAAAAGTAGGTAATTAAGAAAGGGTTACTCTTATTCGAAGGACGATTTAAGATTCCGGATAAAGGAGATTTATATATAAAACTCCTTAATAATATATATCGATAATTATTAATTATATACCCTAAAATTAAGAAGCTAAAGAAGCTTATTTTATTAAGATATTATTAGCTAAGATAGGCTAATAATATAAAACAATATATAGAAAACTACTTAGTTTATAAATAAATAAAAACCTAGCGAGATTATATACCCGGATTATTATATCTTTTACTTATTCTTAAGAGACTCTAATAATATATTTTAATAGATTTCCGCTTATTCTTAAAGAATTATTATAATTATAATACTATTTTTATAATTATTAATTGTCAGGTGAAATATAGGCTATGCAGGAATGAATGTTAACCTCAAGGGATTAATATTGTAGACTCTAGAGAGAAAGAAAAGAAGAGAAGAAAAACTAGCTACTGTCTAACAATATCCTGAGTTCTGTGGGTCAGGATCACCTACGGCCCCACATGGCCGTCACGTGACTCCAACACCCCCTTCAGGACGAAGACTGTCACTATATCTCTTTGTCTCCACCAATAAAAACTCTCCATTTTGTTTTCTCATTTTCCACTATTTCCTGCACAATATAA